TTCTTCATGCGTTCAATACTTTTTCCCTGTACCATTCCACATTATTACAAAAAACTTCACTTCTGGACATTTACCGTTTGATTTCTTGGGTTGTTACCGACATCTGGTGAAAATTTCATGTCATTAGCACCTCTAGTAATATATTTACTGAGAAAAATGGTGACGTGTTCAATACTTATTTTACCCGCTGTATGTATAACATTACATCATATCGATCACAGACTTGTGAATTTAATTGAAGTTGTATCATGGCAGACTTTTTGATATCAAGAAACACTATCACCATCTAAATAAATCAATAAAAAATCATATTGGGATTAAGTTGGTGATTTACACCCCTATAATCACTGGGTGTTTCTTTATAGCTGATTGACTTACAGAGTCAACTCCATTAAAAATGGCAGCCACAGCTAATTGGTGAACAAACCTGGCAATAACTCAATCAACTTTGCTGTTATTGAGCTCACATGTGGTGTGGAAGTGGTTGAGTGTTACAACACATATTCTGAGCACAGATACTGAGTGTGTTTAACAATAAACTGAAGTTTGATCTAAGCATAAGGCGATCTTGATTAAAGGTCTAACTGCTGCTTCGGCCAGGCTGATTTCAGTTAAATAAAGAACAGGTTACAGGAAAATACATCTTTTTACTATATTTTGTCAGTTGAATCTGGATTGCTTTGAACAGTGTATAGTTGTTTTTGAATGTGAGTTTAACGGTTCTAGAGTAAGTTGCAAATGGACATATACATACATTGGGCTGAAAATGCATTGAATCATGTGTTACTGGCTTTGAACTGGGCTAGCTTGTTTGTAGAGCCTTGATATGACTTTAGTTGTAAGTCGTGCTATAAGGGAAATTAAATGGATTTAAACCATCCATCCATCCATCCATCCATCCATCCATTATCTATACCCACGTCTTTCCTTTCAGGGTCACTGGTGCCCATATTCAACAGTCACAGTGCGAAGGGCGGGGTACACCCTGGACAGGTCGCAAGTCCATCACAGAGACACACAACCTTTCACTCTCTTACTCACATCTAGGGACAGTTTAGAGTTATCAATTAACCTAACAGTCATGTTTTTGGTCTGTGGGAGGAAGCCGGAGTACTCGGAGAAAACCCACACATGCACAGAGAGAACTAGGGATGTCTCAATCCAAATTTTTTGGCTCCCGATACAATCTGATTTTTTTAATTAGTCTTTCTGATACCGATCCGATAGCTTTGTTTCTTTATTTCTTTCCACGTGACAAGGTTGGTAGTATTAAAGCGAGCCCTGCTGTTCCCACCACGAGAAACATCCAGTTTGCAGATTTTACATGATGCAGTTTCAGCATCGTTTTCCATTGAAAAGTGTTCCCACACTGTGGACATGGTTGCATACTTGTGTGCGCCTTGACTTCTTAACAGCAGTTGTAAAGCATGATGCTGAAAACTGTCACGAAAACTGGATCGGCCCGATCACATAACCAAACCTGATTCTACCCGATTTTCAAAAAAATGGCCAGATCTGCCACCGATACTGATGCCGAGTATCTGATCAGGACATATAGAGAACCAGCAACCCAGAAAGCTCCCCCGGGCCGGGATTTGATCCGGCGACCTTCTTGCTTTCTTCGAAATGAGTTTCCTCCACAGGGTGTCTGGGCTCTCCCTTAGAGATAGGATGAGAAGCTCAGTTGTCCAGGAGGGACTCAGAGTAGAGCCGCTGCTCCTCCATGTTGAGAGGAGCCAGTTGAGGTGGCTCGGGCGTCTGGTTAGGATGCCTCCTGGACTCCTCCCTGGTGAGGTGTTCTGAGTACGTCCCACTGGGAGGAGACCCAGAGGAAGATCCAGGACACGCTGGACGGACTATGTTTCTCAGCTGGCCTGGGAATACCTTGGGATTCTCCCAGATGAGCTGGCCCAAGTGGTTGGGGAGAGGGAAGTCTGGGTCTCTCTGCTTATGCTGCTGCCCCGTGACCCGACCCGGGATAAGTGGAAGAAAACGGACGGACAGACCTTCTTGTTAAAAGGCATCAGCTCTACCAACTGAGCCACCGTGCCGCCAAATTTAAATCACTCTAATATATTTAGCTCCAGCCCATATAGTAGACAGGTGTGGGCCAGGTCTGGCAATGATGGCACTGTTTATATGATGATGTGCCAGTACCACAACTGGCCCAGGTGTGGTTTGGTTTATGTGGTGCTGCTGGCCCATGCATGGACCACCAAAAGGCTGTCATTTTTTTGGAAAATCTGGGCACCATTTGGGTCAGGATGGGCCAGATATATTCTGTCAGGCAGACTGGTTCTCAGACTGTGGTACAGTCACCACTCCTGGTACTCAGGAAACACTTTAGTATTAGCTCCAAATAGAAGCTAAATGGGTATTTTCTGGAGAACCCCTGAAACTGAAGTGGATGATGGTTAACTGTGTGTTTTTTTTTTTACTGACACCAGTGAGGTTTCTATATGACTTTATAGAAACAAATAATGCAAAACAGTGAAAAAAATAAAAGTTATCTCAAAGTTGTATTTGGTTATTGTGTGACAGAAGACGATCCAAAATCAATTGTGACATATAACAGTGTTACTGTAAAAACCTGCAGTGAAGGAGCTCTTAATGGTTTGTGCAGGTCAGTGATTGGTGATTGATTTAGCTCTTGTGGAAACAGACCCGACACGAGCTGAAGCACTTTGCCTCTCAGAGTGAAGGGACACAAGGTTAAGCCTCTTTGCAGAAGTAATATCACTCACCTTAATGAGGGCTCCGCCTACGCCCTCACAGGATAAAGGAAGCAGGAGTTCATCCATGTGAGAGGGATTTGGTCCATCTTCATTTGCTGCACAAATACTGACTGTACTCATTTTAAGTGAAGTTACTCACATCTGTCTCTTCTCTTCTCTGCACTCCTCTCTGTTTGTTTTCTCTCAGTGGGAAGCCGGCCAGTAACCTCACCCCTTAATGATGCAAAGGTCAGAAAAATGTCCCATTTTGTTTCTATTTTTCAACGTTTTAAATACGTAATCACTAAATGTTTTTTTTTTCTATTTGGATTGTGAAAACAGGTTGAATGCATTATTCAGGAGACCCTGAATGAAGATGGGTCACACCACATGTGTGGATCACGGCTAGCAGGTGAAATTTTAGGTTTTTTTTTTTAGAAAGAAATAAGGTAATTTTGACTTTGATGGCAACAACAAGTCCTAAAAATGTTTGTACAGGTCTGTATTTACAAAACATCACTTCTTTTTTTAACAACAGTCTGTAAACATCTATGAACTGAGGAGACAAGTTTTTAGAGGGGAATGATGTTTTAGTCTGATTCCAGCTGTTCAACAGTCTTGGGTCTTGGCTGGATGTCAGCTCAGAACTTTTCTACTACAAAGCTATGATGATGTCATAAAGCAGGGGTGTCAAACTCCAGTCCTCGAGGGCCGCTATCCTGCATGTTTTAGAGGTTTTCCAGCTCCAACACACCTGATTCAGTGATTGAATTAACTCTTCAAATTGGGCAGAAGCCTGTTAATTACCCAGCGATCAAAATCTGGTGTGTTGGAGCAAGAAAACCTCTAAAACATGCAGGATAGCGGCCCTCGAGGACAGGAGTTTGACACCCCTGTCATAAAGGAAACAGCCTGACTGAAATGAAGGGACAAGTACAAGTCCTTCCTCCTGTGGGAACAGTATGTTGTTTTAAAACATGTAAATACTTTTCTGCATTGGTGCCTTTCCAGATGTGTTAAGCTGCCCATGTCCGATACAATAATGCACCCCTATACCATCAGAGAGGCAAACTTTTGTACTGAGTGCTGACAGGTGGATGATCCCTCTCCATTTTTAGTACAGAGAACGTGGCATCACTGTTTTAACTCTCAGCCTCGTCTTAGCTCAGGGATTTATCCAAATTCTTGAACTGTTTTCATGTTATGAGCTGTAGATGATGGGATAATCAACATCTTCGTTTTTTTATTTAAGAAACTTGAGAAGGAACCAAACTTCTTTTTAGATGCATTTTTTTTCTGACTGGTGAACCTCTGCCTAGCTTTACTTCTGAGAGATTCAGTCTCTTCAGAGTACTCTTTACACAGTCCTCTGTTGACATGTTGCCAGTTAAGCTGTTTAGCTGAAAGATTTTCCTCCAGCTGCTCCTTTTCCACTTACTTTCATAGTTTTGACCCTTTTTTTTTTTTTTTTTTTTTTTTTGGGGTTTTTTAATTTGTTTTTATTTACATTTCATACAACATCCCACTACATCTGTTGACCCACTTCAGTCATTTTACAATTAGAATTTACAGAATGTCTCCTATAGTGTCTTACTGTGAGGTATAAACATTTCTGTCAAATGTTGATTTGTTCCTCAAACCATAGCATTATTTAATTTGAATAAATGCAAAACATGGTTTAGTATTTAATTTAAACATATAAAAAGTTGTAAATGTTTTTTTCCCTCTGTGGGTCATTGATTATGTAAAAGATTGTTTCAGTTGTGCTTAAATCCTTGTTTTGGTTTGTTTATTGCAGAGGAACTTGATGAAGTGCAGAGACATCAGGGTCTTCTCAGAGAGCTGCAGAGTTTGGCTGATGATGGTACGCTGCACAGTCTCACACTGAGTCACTCTTTATATGTCCTTAAAGCATTTTAAACCAAAGCCTTGCTTATTACTGCTATTACTTATTACTGGTGATAGGTGTTTGTCTGTTAGCAAAATATCTTGTGAACCACGCAATGAATTTGAAATCTGTTTTTTAAGAAATTACTTTTGGATGTTCCTCTGCAACTAATAAACTTTTGGAGCCAATTCAATTCACGTTGGCTTCTCCAGACAGCTGACCTTAGAAAAATCAAAAATTACTATAACTTTTTCAGTTTTACAGATATTTGGTTCAAATGTTCTGCAATGGTAGCTGACAGTCACAGAACATTATTCTGAGTAATGATAGAACACAAAACATTTTACAAAATAGTAATTACTAGGGGTGCAACAATACATGTACCCGTATTGAACCGTTCAATACGGTGCTTTAGGTTCAATACACACTTGTATGGAACAATACAGATTTTTAAAATTTACTTTATCAACTTGTCTTCTGAAGATGCTCTGTGTTAAAGGATCAGTTTATCTGTGTTCGACTACCCGACCTAGGCTGCATTGTCGAGCACAGATCCACTGAAAAACTTACTGTTTCAGCAAGATTTAATTTAAAAACTGGACTTCTGAGGTTAAACAAATGTTCATAATTAATTTAAATAAATTACAAGTTAAAAGGGGCATGGAAATTTCTCTTTTTTTGTATCGAAAAATATCGAACCGTGAGACTAAAGTATTGAACTGAACCAAATCATGAATTTTCTGTATCGTTGCACTGTTTTGTTGCAGTAATTACATATCGTCTTATTTTCTGGATTTGACTGAGACAATTCACATTTATTTCTTAATATAAGATTGTTTTAATTTTGAACTCTAGCATAAAATAAATTCTAGACCTTGTGTGTGTGTTGTGTTGTGTTTATTTTTGTTAACAACACATCTACCTCAGTAATTCTTAACTATGTGGCCTTTAATCAGATATGGCTGTATTTGATTTGCACTTATATTTACAGTTTCTTTATTAATTTTAAACACTATTTTAAATGTATTTAGTTTATCACTGCCTAATTTTTATATCAAATTTCCTATATTTCTAATAGTTGTAATTAAACACAATTATTTTTGTCTTTATACACCTGTCTGGAGCCATTAATGTTGTTTCACTATATTATATACTCCTGATCAACATCTTAAGACCAGTCAAATAAGTGCAAGAATTTGCGTTTTGCACTATTGGATCTTAAGAAGGTTCTAAGTAGAGCTTCACAATGTTAAAAGAAGAAATCAGTGCAAGAGACAAGAACTTTTGAGCAGGGAATTTTCTGAAAACTGCATTTACACTCAAACATGACTTTTTCAGCTGATCAAAAGTTTAAGACCATAGTCTTTAAAAGCCAAAAGCTGTGCAAAAATCTGGATTCCATGTCATTTTCTGTCAAGTCTTTACACTGTCAAGACCTCCTGATGGCAAAAGTAAAAAACCTCACTGACTTTGAACGTGGTAGGATTGTTGAGCTGCATAAGCAAGGCCTCTCACAACGTGCCATCGCTGCTGAAGTTGGACGCAGTAAGACAGTCATTTTGCATTTTTTAAATGATCCTGAGGGTTATGGAACAAAAAAAAGTCAAGTGGTAGACCCAAAAAAATTTCATCAGCTCTGAGCCGCAGGATCCGATTGGCTGTCCGTCAAGACACGGGACGATCCTCTACCCAAATTAAGGCCATTACTGGTGCTGACTGCAGCCCAATAACCATCAGACGGCATCTGTGAGAGAAGGGCTTCAGAAACAAAAAACGTCTTCAAAGGCCACGTCTTCTTCAACGCCACAAAACTGCCCGTTTGGACTTTGCAAGGGTGCACCAAACATGGGACATTGAAAGGTGCAAGAAAGTTGTCTTCTCTGATGAGAAAAAATTTAACCTTGATGGTCCTGATGGCTTCCAACGTTACTGACATGACAAGGAGATCCCACCTGAGATGTTTTCTACACGGCACAGTGGTGGGGGCGCCATCATGATTTGGGGTGTGTTTTCCTTCAATGGAACAATGGAGCTTCAGGTTGTGCAGGGGCGTCAAACAGCAGCTGGCTATGTGGAGATGTTGCAGCGGGCATCCCTCATGACTGAGGGCCCTCGTCTGTGTGGTAATGATTGGGTTTTTCAACAGGACAATGCTGCAGTTCACAATGCCCGCCTGACAAAGGAGTTCTTCCAAGAGAATAACATCACTCTTTTGGACCATCCTGCTTGTTCCCCGGATCTAAACCCAACTGAGAACATTTGGGGATGGATGGCAAGGGAAGTTTACAAAAATGGACATCAGTTCCAGACAGTGGAWGCCCTTCGTGAAGCCATCTTCAACACTTGGAGCAACGTTCCCACTAGCCTCCTGGAAACACTGGCATCAAGCATGCCTAAACCATTGTTTGAAGTCATCAACAAGAATGGTGGAGCTACTCATTACTGAGTCCTTTTTTTGACACTTTGATTTTTGTTTTGGAGGATTTTCGGGGTTTTCTGAGCTATGGTCTTAAACTTTTGATCAGCTGAAAAAGTCATGTTTGAGTGTAAATGCAGTTTTCAGAAAATTCCCCACTCAAARGTTCTTGTCTCTTGCACTGATTTCATCTTTTAACATTGTGAAGCTCTACTTAGAACCTTCTTAACATCCAATAGTGCAAAATGCAAATTCTTGCACTTTTTTGACTGGTCTTAAGATTTTGATCAGGAGTGTACATATATATATATATTGTTGGGTGTCTTGTTGTATGTAAGGGTTTAATATTAGATAAATAAATGTTTTAAATAATGCCATGTTATTTGACGAGGTTTCGTTGTGTCGTTCAGTTTTTGAAGACAAATCAAACCAAGACTGAGATCAGTTAGTAATTTGACCAATACAGTGTCTGGTGATCAGAACGTTAAAGAACCCTCTGATCTAACTGATCCTGAATGCTGATGTCCAACTTTTTTCAGAGAGAGAGAAGGAGCGGAGAGATGAGTACAGACTGGCTGATGATGAGAGCGACTTTGAGGAGAGGGATGACCAGGAGGAGGAGGAGGAGGAGAGTGACGCTGGAAGAAAGACAGAGGAGGATGAAACCAAGACGAAGATGACAAAGGAGCCACAAGCTGAAGGTACGGATGATGATGAGGAGAGAGAAAAGGAGCTTGAGGATCTGCTCGGAGAAGGGCCCACTAAGAACGGTGAAGAAGAAGATGAAGAAGAAGGAGGGTCCAACAAGGAGCTGGATGAGCTGAAACTGAAGCAACAGAAGACTGAGGAGGAGAACCCTAAAGGAGCGGAGCTAAAGAAGAACGTGGAGGACAAGAAGGTGACGCAGGACAAAGAAGACACAGAGGATTTGGAGGAGCAGAGGAGGAAGAATGAGGTGGAGCTGATGGTGGAGAAGGAGAAGGTGGAGAAGGAGCTGAAGGAGCTGCTCAGTGAGCAGGACAACAGGAGCCAGCCAGAGAAGGAGAAGGAGAGGAAGGAGAAGCAGGAGGAGCTGGACGAGCTCGTCAGAAAGATGAAAAGGGTGCAGGAGGAGGAGCGGGAGGTGCAGGCTGGCAAGAAAGAAGACAACACGACTGAAGAGAAGGAGGGACAGGAGGAGAAAACAACAGATGACAAAAAGGAGAACAAAGTTAAGAAGAGGAGCGACGTGTCGGAGGTGAAGGAGCCGCAGCAGAAGAGAGTGATGGAGAAAGCCAGCGATGAGGCCACACGGCAGTTTGAACGTGAGAGGTACAAGGATGAGGAGGAGGAGGAGGACAGGGAGGGAGAGGAAGATGAGGACGAATATATTAGGGAAGATGAGGAGGATGAAGACAAAGAGGATGAAGGAGACACTGAAGAAGATGGAGAGGTGAGTCAGAACCAGGCTTGAGTTTATACTGGAGAATAATTCAGCAATTTTTTTTATTTCAAAGTTACAATAAATAAATAAATAAACATTAGATACCTTTATGGAAATATAATTATGATTACAGTATGTGATTATATATCATTTATAGTAAGTATTAATGAAATGTTATAAAATGTACCATACACAATATATTTAAAAGGTCTCCAGTTATCATTGTGCTTAGTGACACTCTGAACATACTGCATTGCAGAGTTGTCTCAGTTTTTCTTAGCCTCAAGGATTCCACAGACTTTGTTGGGTAATTACACGTTCATTGAACAAAATCACATTTACTGCAGTAGGCTTGGGCAGTATGACGGTATTGTGGTATACCTAATGAAATCTGGTGACAGTATTATGACTGTATGAGTCACACCAAACAACAAGGCTGCTATAAAAACTGGTACAAACATGCTGGGCTCTTTCAGAAGACACCTCATAACATTACTGATGCATGATATCTGACCACATCGGTCCAGAGGTAGGGGGGTCAGAGACACCCCCTGTATGTTACGCCTCTTAACCTTTGTGCAAGGCAGTGACAGAAACGTTACTCGCCAACTCCTGAAAAGGTGGGCCGGCTAGTGCTAACTGACACCTTCGGGGACCACCCAGCCACAGATTTCTTAAGTCAAACCACTAGATTTAAACTTTCTGTGTGTGTAGGGAGGAAATAACTACACAATTTATCAGCACAAAGACTGGCTAAAAGCATGCAGCAGCACATACTGTATACCACAGTAAGAGGTCATTGGGAAACTTAAAACTCTCCAAGGAGTTTGGTGACTTGGAAATATGTTGATCTGTTCAACATATAATAAGGGACAAAAAGCCATTCTGTGACTCTTGCTGCAACACGTCAGATCAGCTGAGATTTCTTCCCACGCCTCTCTTTGGCTGTAGAAAGTAGAGCTGGGCGATATGATCAAAATTTTATATCACGGTATTTTCAACATTTTCACCGGTTTCACGGTATTTGACGGTATTTTTCTTTACATCACAGCTCCGCTGATAATAAAATGTACAAACCCTGCTTATTAACTTTTTTTTCTTTTACTGTACCTCTGTCTGTGTCTCTGTTTCCCTCCTCTGTGTCTGTTCTTCTCTGACTGGTGGTTGGAGACAGTAGTCATGCATTTTGGTCCAGTTGTGAAGGAGGAGGGTTAAGAAAAGATT